AGTCTTGCCAGCCACCGTACGGAAGATAGGCATTCGCTTCTATTACTAGTGCTCATAGTCAGCCTGAGAAATTTTAATGCATGCATATTTTATCTTGAATATTTCCGGCAACAAATTTATAAAGGGTTATATCGTCTACATTAAATTGTTTTCTCTGCTTACCGTCGATAGAGGAGATAGGTAGTAAGTGTAAGCCGATAGAAAGATAGGCGGTCTTCCTTAAACAATATTCTACGTTTTCGAAGCCACTCTTGACGCTACACATAAGTAAGTCTTGTCCAGGACTTAAGCATCACGTTAATGAGGAGTTTTTTGCCCGATGAAGCGTCATAGCAATCGACAGCAATATCGATATTCTGCGCATGTGCAAGTTGAGTTTCATATCACTTTTGATCATTTGATTATTTGATCATTTGCTCTTGCCCTGAAGATCAATATTGTAGTCGATAGCTTTGTTGTGCAAAATCTCGCTAATGACCCCGAGGAAAGGATCGCGCAGGGTGAGCGGAAATCGCGTCTCGGGTCCTAATTCCTGCGGGTCGGCTCAGCCAGATCACCAAGGTGGACAGCGCCCCTGCCGAGCGCACCTCCTGGCAATTGCCTGGCGCGGCGGCCAGGCGACGCGGTGTCGTGGTGACGTGGCGGGACGGGGGACGGGGGAGGAGGTCTCGTGGCGTTTCCCATGCTCTTTGATGCGTCCGCTGCCCTCTGAGCTCTGCGCCTCATCGGTTATTCAAAAGTCCCCCTCTCCATGCCCCGTCTCGACCCGCTCCTCCCCTCCCCGCTGCGACGCGCCACGCCACACAGCCGCCCGCCGGATCTACATTTAGAGCAGCGAATTACAAGGCGACTTCTTTCTTTTTGAGCGGAGGTGGCCGTGGCAGCAGCAAAAGTGGACGGGAAAGAAACGCAGGAGAATCAGTAGGAGAGGGAGAGGTTCGGAGGAGAAGAAGGAGAAGAAGAAAGTCCAATCCCTAAACTGAAATAGGAAAAGAGGGGGAAAGAATAATAAATACGAGGAAAAGAAAGAGGAAGAGGAGGAGGAAGCAAAACAAGAAGGAATATGAGTAGGAATAGAAGTATAAGAAAATAAGCGAGAAAAAGAATAGATAGGAAAGAAGTATAAAGAGGAAAAATAGAACGATGTGCAGGAGGAGAAGAAAGAGGAAAGGAGTAAAATAAGCAAATGGAGGGGGATAAGCAAGTAAAGGAGGTAAAGCAGGAACAGGAAATTGTGTAGAAGGAGAATAAAGACTAGGAGATGTACTAGAATGAGAAAGAGGAGCAAGAAGGGCGTTACGAGGGCTGCGTGGAATTATTCCCGCGAGCTGAGCCCCGGCTCTCGGCGCGTGGGAGGCAGGCTTTGGCCGAGGCTCTCCAGTGCGGAGGCCGCTTCATTTTTCCTCCAGTGGTACAGAGAGCGCTCCGACTGCACTGGTCGTCATTGCTTGTCTCTTTAATTCTCACCACTCTCACATCTTCTGCGTTATTGAAAAAACATAAATCAACATAAACAAAACAAAACAACAAAGCAAAGGATTATAGATTTATTTACTGATTGATTCAAAAATTTGGTCAACAATAAAAAGTTGAATATTGAAAGAAATGTTGAGATAGATTTATTGATTTATGTTTTCGGGCACGTCAACTGCGATGATGATTAGTCCCGTTAGTGTAGTGGAGGTGGCGGTATTTCCTCACACTGTGATACCTCGGTGATACCTGCACATTGGCTTCCAGGGCCTCCTCCAGATACAAGCGATGCACCGCCCCTGCCACGTAAAGTTCTAAGCTGGTCTCCCGACATATGGTAGTGCATTACATGTAAGTATGTATGTAAATGGTAAGGATAGGGCAAGGAAGCAGAAGGAAGGATCGTGTGCACACCGTAGCCCGTATGTTTAGGTACTGCTCCGGCATTCGCCTGATATTGACTGAATAAACCACGGAAAACAAACGATGAACGCCGTCGGCCGCTAGAATTCACTTTCGGTCAGCGGCTGAATTCGACCTGTCGACATATCTAGTAATGAAAACCTGCCGGCTTCGAGACTCGAGTTCTAGGATCTCCGGGACAGAATCGCTGCACAGCCATCGACAATGAGCTAAACATCTATTGTTAATGAGAGCTTCAGTTTGCAGAGCAAAAATTATTCATTACATTATTAAAGAGGAACACTCTTTAAAATTAAATTCTGATCAGATTTCATCTGATCAGTGTTAAGAATTGATATATAATTTACAAATAATAACCTCTTCTGACACTTTTATTACTTGCCGACTTCTCAAAATTGTTTGTGCAAAGTTTGGGAGAAATAATTTCTTTGAATCAAAGGTTATTGTGGAACAAACACACCCATTTTCGTTTCATATAGTGATATTGCTATTACTGCCACATACTAAGTTGCAGCATAAGAAAAGGCAATGTCTTCTATTTACAACAGAGCAATGTTTTGGGCTGTTTCAATCCCAGGAAGGTACCAGAAATTACTTTGGTTGGGTAAACATCGGTGGGTTTGTGGCGCCTTGCGAAGTTCAATTAGAATATCGGATGCTCTGACAAATTATTTATCAGAGAATTTCCAGGCGAATGGTGGTGTACCGTTCTAGTTTACGAGATACAGACCGCGCGCCACTCTTCCTCGCGTACTCGATTCTCATTCACAAATTTTAGAGCGGATCGATGATTTTTATCGATGACTTTCCTCGTATGGCATCCAATTGATCACTGACAAGCGTCGGAAATCCGGAAAGCATCGACAAGCTATGAGATCGCCCTGGCTTTGCATGTCTCTCTCGTGACGGGAAACACCCGGTTTGGTTATTAATGTCATTAGATTGACGAACAGCAAATAACCAGCCGAGTCTGTTTATTTGTGTAATCGGCCGTGTCGCAGAACCAACAACACATATGAGAAACTCTGTTAGTTATTTGCGTCATCGGCACCGTCTCGATCAATTATTTTCGTAATACCTTCTTCTTAGAAGAAAAAATTAAATTACCATTTCTTGTATTCTCATCTCGATTGTGGAATGATTTTCGACACTAGCTAGAGAGTTACTAGGTCGAATTCAGCCGCTGTCTTGAGAATTTTAGTGGCCAGCTTACACTTACAGTAACACGCATTACACTACCACGCTTGTCGGGAACTTAGAGCTTACCGCGGCTGGAGCGGTGCCTCGTTGGAGGGAAATACCTCGTTGGAAAAAATTCCTGCCAGCGGACGTAGGTTGGCAGCAGAACTCTACCATCCAGCGGGGAAAGATCATCACCATATCCCGCCATGAAAACATGCGCTACACTTGCGGGACTATTCATCGTAGGTGTTAGCGTGTCCGGTATCGCTAATCAATCAATTACATTTTTACCACACCTTGACACATACTTTAAGTGTAGATAAATGAAACTACAAATTAAATTCTCCTCATAGCACGTCACGTTTAACTGTTTTTTAGATGAATAAAAAAATAAAAACGTACGTTAAACCTTTGCCGCCGCTGAACGCAGCTCCGTCTGTTTGGCTGCGAAAGTCGTTTTTATAACAATACAATATTGGGCAAAATAATCGCCGATTGTTACTGTCAAACGCACTCCTCTCGCGTGCCCTTCCTGCCCCATCCCGTGGGAAGCTGTGCCTTTTGCGATTCCCTTTTCTGAACGCTATGCGGCTCGATCATCCCGTGCGCACGAGCGCATTGGGAGGGGAGGGGGGCAATCGGCCTCGCGCGCTGTCGTGGTCCTGATTGGCCGCGCGTGCCCTCTCGCGCCGATGCACGTTAATGAGGTGCGCGCTGGAAATTGTCATTTGATCCTGCTTAATCAGACGCGCAAAGTCGACCATAATTCGCTGAGCCTTGTAATGAGGCTTACCCGCAACGCGCATCGCGCAGCTGTAATTAACATTTCCTTACGCAGCGGCGGTGCCAGGGGTGTTGTTTCAATGTCTTTTCAGCGCCCTAGTGTAATTTGGACACGTCGAAGTTGCTACAGAATTTTAATTAAGAGAATTGTTTTAAAATGCTACTTTACGTAGTCTAGAATCTTCATTTATACTCCCCCTGCTTTTCTAGAAAGAACTACGCCAGTTGTCTGTACGATTACTGATTATGAGGTTCTACGATAAACTTTTTTTAAGAAGGTTTATTATTCGCTTTGACACTATTACCAGAAACATTTCAATTAAATCTATATATAGAAGTTTACGCTACAATAATATTCATCGTTTGATACTATTTAATAATATTTGAGATAATCATTTAGGCGCTCAGGATATTAAGGGCAGATCCGAACCGACTTCGTATTTTCAGTTAGAAGTATGACGGTTAACACTTGCCCTAAACAAATCATAGTCTAAAACATCAAATGAATTGGGATGTAGTAAAATGCTCAAATTTCACCATCAAAAATTAGTTCGTAATGAACAAAAACAGAAAAGTCATTTTTCTCGAAAAAAAACTTTGTAATCTGCAGTTATTATTCTGAGCACCTCAATTGTGACCCACAAAACCAACAGGAATTATTTCATTGAATAAAATTGGAGTAGGTGTCATATCTCCTTCAATTATTTCTGCTCTTCAAAACACAAAATATTCTAAGACGTAATGTATAGAATATGCAGCTTCCACATATCCATTTTACATCATATAAAACATTCTTAGCGTTATGCAGTGTAAAACAGATAACATAAGCATTTATATTTGTATTCGTCTCTAATGAATAATGCTATGTTGCATATGTCACAGAACAGAGAATGCTGCATCCCTAGCATTTAGTACTGTGAAACTAATGTGATTAGGGTGGGATGCCGTATGGTGAGCACCGTATATGCCTTGCTCAAAATATTATATTTTTTTAGTGTTCGTCTGATGAGAACTGACGCCTGTGTGTGCATGCTTGTGTGTGCTGTGTAGCTGATACCTGTGTGTGCTCCCACGTGTGTACTGAGGAGGGAAGCCTATGTTTGTGCTGTGTTGTGAGACCTGTGCTTGTGTGCCCGCAGTGCAGCCGCAGAGGCCGCGCATCGAGTTCAACTCGAGCACCGTGCTGCCGGCGCACAACGTGTCCGCCGCCGTGGGGCAGCGCGCCGCCATCAAGTGCCTCAGCCGCTACGGCAACCCGCCCGCGCGCCTCAAGTGGTTCCTCGGTGAGTCGTCCTTCTCTCTTCATTCTCCACGAACTCGCGGCGGCTTACGTTCAAAAATGCCCATGTGCCGCTCTCGTTTCCACTAGACTAGAGTCGATCGCGCTCCAGCGGCCTCTTTCCCCCCCCGGGCTGAGTCGACGTGTAACAAGCCACACCGGTGCACCGCAGATAAGCGTGTGGCCATTCTCTCCAAGTAGATAACCCCCTTTACTATTCCTGTACTAGCTTATTAGCTGGCTTTGCCCAGATATTTATTCCGCTCCTCCCTCGCACCTCCCCACCTCAGCCTTCTTCCGCACCCGCTCTGCCCATCTTTGGACCTTTCACTGGACCTCGTCGCCGCGCGCGGTCCACCTCCATTCAGGCCCACTCCGCCCCCACTCCGCCCCCACTCAGCCACCACTCCGCCATCACTCCGCCATCACTCCACCATCACTCCGCCACCACTCTGCCACCACTCCGCCATCACTCCGCCACCACTTCACTACCACTCTACCCCCGCACCGCTTGCTTCACCCGGCCCTCATCATTCCTGCGAATTCCGTCGAATTCCGTCCCGCGTCCCCCGTTAATAAGTCTACCTAGATACTTCATAAATTCAAACTAATATTTGAAAACTAACACATATGATGAGGTGACTTTTAGAATCCTAACCCCTTATTCTCCCCACTCTTAAATATTTGTGACAAATTTCAATGCAAACACTTCACTGATTCACAAATTTCTGCTAATATCTATATGCATACACATTTTTACATATATGAATGGTAATAAGTGTTACAAACTTCTACAATATGTAAAGAAGTTGAAGATGATCATATTTTGACAATGAGATTGCGAGTATCAAAGCTAAGGATGTGTCATTTTCCCTCCGTTGAAAAACATGCAGCATCAAGTGGTGTGTGTCAACTACTGATACAATCAAAGATATTTTGTGTCCCTACCAAACACCAAATCGTGAAGCTTTCCATATTACTTACAGGTAAAAGCAGCATGCATAACGTTGTTCCGTAATTGGCCACCAGGTGACTGTTGGCAAAAAGTGATTATCTACGACATCTGCTCATGCCCTAGAAGTTTGTGCCATTTATTCCGAGACCGCGGTAGAGTGAGCGGCGGTGGGCGAGCGTGAGCGTGTTGTGGGCGCAGGCGAGCGCGAGCTGCTGGAGGGCCACGCGCAGGCCAACGCCACCGAGATGGACAACCCTCGCACGTGGGTGGCCTCGTCGGTGCTGGAGCTGCCGCTGGCCCGGGACATGCACCGCTCGCCGCTGCGCTGCGTGGCGCTGCACGAGTCCTACTCCGCCAAGGCAGAGGACATCACCGTCTTCCTGGACGTGCGATGTGAGTACCTTCTCTCATTTACTTTCAACAATGAGAAGATTTTGTTAATGATACATTATTGCTTGTTATTGTCTTTGATATCGAGTTCGATGTACAGAGCATAACTTACTTGGATAGCGAGGATCATGGTTACTAGGGAAATGGGAAAACAGTTGAAATATGTTAAATGTTTTCTTATGGAGAAAATTATTAAAGGGAATTGTAGGAGGAAACTTTGAAAAGGCAAACTGAGTCAAGTTAACATTTAGTTACTTAGTAAGTAAATAAAAGTGAATCATTAAAATCAGGGGAAAATAAAATATTGTATGTACTAGGGCGTTAACTGGTTCTACTGATCGAGAGGCGACAAAATCCCCATAGCTTTCTGTCACCCGAGATCATTAGAGCCCTTAAAATGCCCTTAGTACGTAAATAGCTATTTCTTTTAATCAACCGACTGCCTCCTTGACTCAGGGTTAACAAAATGTAATATTAAAATATTAATAAGAAATCAACAAAATGTAGTCTGGTGTTCACCATTTGTGTTTTGGATATTTAAGTACTACATGTACAATACGGCATTCAAGCTGTTAAGAAGAAATGTAAGCGTGGAGTGTAATTTGTAGTGTTCTGCAACCTGCCAGGTTGCACAAACCTATCTGCAGAAATAATAATTATCTATAAATCGTATAAGATCCGTAACAAAAGCAGTCAGCTGTTTGGGCTTAACAAAGAAACTTTATAAACACCATGATGAATAATAACTCCCTCTTTGCTTCACGCTTTTGAGTAAAACGCAGCTAATAGTACAACCTTTTTACTAAAAAAAATGTTAAGTGATGTATGGAGGAGAACACGGTTCCTGGAGTTCCAGAATCGTTACTCCACCCTTTTATTATACACAGCTAAATGATTAATTGAAGTACCAACAAAGCGGGGTTAGCAACATTTAAAAACTATGAATTATTCACTTCCAAATAATAGAAAATGATTGTATCAGTAGACGATCTATAGATTTGATTTAATGTATTGCAGATATAATAGCTACGCTCATCCCCGGCTCTACTCATACTACATTCATGCTAATGCTCTGATTACGTTCAGGGGAGCGAAAACATTGTGAGCTGTGCAGTATTTGACAAGGTTTAGCGCTGATAATCATTGTGCACTTTGTATTGAGCTACGACAATCCACTATTTCGTGCAGACACTGATCAACATCCACATTGTAAATGGTGATATTTCTGTTGATCGACTCGTCTAATGTATTCAGTTTTAGTATAAATAAACCTCTCAATATGCTGAATTATTTTATAAAATCCCATTTTTGATAACTGAAAAAATAATTTAATGTAAATATAGACAAATTCTGACATAATATGCATAAGAACAATAACTACTTGTGGAGCCAGCCTTTTTCATACTAGCTATTTGTTTACTCTTTTTGGTCTGAACTTGCTTTTCGCTGTCGATTCATTTTCTTCTTAGTTGCCTTCTATTGACGCGGAAAAGACATTTTTCACGTTTCTCGCTCAAAAAGGCAAATTTTAATCGAAAATCTTGGAAATATTTTTGAGAAAATGTTTCAGCGTTTCTGAAAATACGCAATGTTTAGCTCATTTTCACAGAACTTTCTTGAGACTTAATGTAACTTTTAACGACACGAGATATTCCCCCAAAAACGTAAATCTTGGAAAGTCAAAATGTCAATAAGGTTAACATATTCAGTGCATTAGATTTTGCTCCATACTACAAAAATAACTACGTACGTATACGTAAAAGTAAAAATGCAAGGATTATGTGATACCACAGTATACGTATTTATACTGTAGCGCAGCTCAGCTCGTTTTGTGGGCAGTTAGGCAAGCGGGCGCATACAGCTAGCGATCTTGATGAAAATAACGTTAAACAACAGATAGCCACTGCTGAAGTATACAGATTTCTTTGCGTTTATGATTAGCTGGTTAAAAACTTAAAAGGTAATTCGTAGTATATCTTGACATCGTGGTTTTACATTCGTAGGATTTCAAGTGCAAGTCACTGAATAACACGTAAAATTTCACAAAACCAACGTTTTAGCCTTACATTTGACATGACTGTATTGGAACATATTTGATATGCACCTACTGAATTCTTATACTTTCTCAGTTAACACATTAATGACAATGCGTGTGTTGAAAAGAGCACACATTTTGTATTTAAATGCAGCAATAATGAAGCAAAGTGTTATGTGATTTTTTACTTCTCTAATATTCCTAGAAAGGAAAGACAAATAAATTGTTTTTTCCTCCTAACAGAAATGTTATTACTTGCTAGATATCCGGATTTGTACTTATATTGCTTACATTTCTATATATTTTCATGAACAGTGTAGAAATACTTGTTCTTCCTCGTGATTCCCCTATCCACTTGCCATGGACAGCATTCATTACATTTAAACCATTTCTTTCTTTAAAAACTTACCAAAACTTGTACATCAAATGCTGTTTAAGATATTTGCATAAGTAAATCAAAAACATTTACTTTTTGGTTAGATTTGGCGGAACGATGCTATATTAGGAATTGTAAGGTGGCGTTGTATTCCTCGATTGCCGCGTGGATCGCTAGAGTCGCTGACCAACACGTCATATGGCATTTAACATGGAACTGCGCTACTGTATAAAACGTATACTATGGTAATACTATGAATTTATAGAAGCATTTCTAAGTTCTAAGTTCTCGCTTAAATGCAGGTGTCTCATATTAAATATTTCCGACTTCAAGGGCGTCCAAAGGGGTCGAATGTGTTTACGTTTTCCATTGAATCTGTGATGAGGAATTTTCTACAGTGCAGTTACACATGTGACATTTGTCTCCGATTGTAAGGAAATTTCATGTACTGATGGTCGGCAGATAAATTGGATGCTTGAGAAGGTAACCTGCCAAACTCCAATGCAAGAGTTGCGTAAAATTCCGACTACAACACGTATAGCATCGTTATAAAAATGATTTGTAATGTTGACGCCTCAAGACCTGACTTCTATATCAACATTCCGAACGATGTTTGTTTGCTCTTAAGACGAAAAAACAGGTTCTGATTCTGATAGTGGTTGTAAATTTTAAAAAAATGCAAAAGGTGTCACTCTGACTCTCAAGGTAGCGAAATGTGTTCCCAAATGACTCTTACAACAAGGTTCTAAAGTACTTGAATTCCAAAGTCAGAATACTGTATAGCTTCATAATGTATATATATGAAACAACATTTAGGAAATTACATTTGATTGAGATATAGGGGAATTCAAGGCACTCGGAAAATATTTTGTTGTGGTATTGTGTCCTCACTCAGCGATCGAGCTCTCTCCTCCGAAAGAATTCTTGCAGGCATCAAAGGCTTCCGTCTAAAGTGATTTTAAGCTTTGAGTCTGCAGAATTGCTTTGTTCGTTGATCCGAAAAATCGCCGTGTCTTTGTAGCGTTCATCGCCGATTGGTTACGGAACTTCAGTAGGTTTATTTTTAATTGCAAAACATTGCTGCTGTCCTCCGAGGCTAGTGAAGCGTGAAAGTGATCTACTCGCTCACTTACTGAGTTGGTCTACAACCGCTAAAAATTACCTTCTTATTGCTTTGTGAAAAGATGATTCAAAGTGTAAAAAACGCTGCAAATTAAAAATTATACTCCATTATTGTATATTTATTATTATTATTATTATTATTATTATTATTTATAATCAATTAGGCCTAGAACACGATAATGCGTCAACGTTCCGAAGAGTTTTAGCGGCAATTTGGTGCGGGCTGCTGTGAGCCTAAGGATACTGGAGTGTGACGGATGGATAGCTGGGGTAAATGCCCAGTGAACAAAATGGCTGAGGTTTAAGTGAGATCTGAGGGCGCCAGCGTAAGCCCTGGCTAACCTCCAAACAATTTTGCACATGAATGTCACTCGTGTTGACGGCCAATTATAAAAAGGTCTTGCGACAGGCAAGAAGGGCTACAGCGAAACCAAAACGAGTTAGCCACTTAATCAAAGTTAAGAGGTTACAGGAAGTGCAGATCAGGTCGAATATTTGCTACATAGTAATGGATACTTTCCATAAAATCATTTTAATTACTTTAATCTGCGTGATACAATTTAAACTAAGAATCTAAGAGCACTTGCCATTTGTCTGTTAATACCATTCACTCCCTTCATTGGCACGCATTCCTTTACTCGTGAAATTCAATTTGTTCTCACCGAACCAAATCGAATCCATTGGTAAAGTAGACTTGGTCATGCAATTCACATTCTATGAAAGTAATAGAGCAGAGACATCTGACGAGAGAGCGAATTAACTTCTGTTCGGTTTCGCGGGAGATTGTTTCCGCAATACCTTGGAAACCTTTCACAGAGGAAATAGCAAACTTTAGAAGATTGCTACGAAAAGGACAAAGCAAACGTTTGTTATTTCATAAAGGTACAATTCCATTGTTACTCAAATTAGTTGATATCTTCTTCATTCTTGATTTATTATTTATTAATATCACTCTTGATTTTACTTTTCGAAATAATTTAACAATGCGTCTCGCCGCAGGAATATTCTACATAAATCAACAGTAACATTACAACTTTCCCGGTTCTTATTATATTTCAATTTAAATTCTCCGCAGGCAATCGCTAAAACGAGGACAGTCTAAGAAATGTGCCTGGAAGTTAGGTCAGGTGGCTGCTTAAAAGAGGGTAAAGTACCTTATCCATAAGGGACAAGTACATTATGAAACATCGATTAGTTCCACGAAAAAATGGTCATCAATGGAGATGACCGCTTAAATAGAGCGAGCCCTCATGCAAGTATTAGAATTTGTGAAAATAGAGCATACACTTCTTCTCGCTCATGAGGAGGGAAGTAATTAATAAGCGTGTGCTGTTTGTGTGATACACAAAACAAGATGTGCCCAAGCACTGTAGGAAGTTGTAACAGGAAGTAATTGATGTATGAAATGGAGGAGGCAAAGGGTTGGCCACACCCTTCTACATGAACGCATGTGTACAATGATTAAAGGGC